TATGCTTGAGAAAAATCAATGATTTATTATGCCTGCATTTCCTGCCATAAATTGCTTTACATACATACATAGAACAGACATGCAGCTAAATCATTCAACATACGGAAGCCCAAGGTATTATACTCATGATGCAGTTGGACTCCACTGCAAAGATCATTTTTGCAGATATCTAAATCTGGACTTGGTTCAAGTTCATTTTTTAAGGTCCTTTGCCCCGGATCCATGTCTCGTGGATCCCAAAAACTGCCCAGAGTTATTGCTGTTACTTTTCTTTGTGGTTTGGTCCTATTCTTATGTCCAGTTCTGGTGCCCTTGCTGTAACAGGGACATAGATCTGTTGGAACAAGTCCAGAGGAGGGCCACAAAGATGATCCAGGGGCTGGAGCACCTCTGCTCTGAGGACAGGCTGAGGGAGCTGAGATCATTCAGTCTTGAAAATAGAAGACTCCGGGGGGACCTAACAGCTGCCTTCCAATACCTGAAGGGAACCTACAGAAAAGGGTGGGGAGGGACTCTTTCCAAAAGCGTCCACCAACAGGACAAGGGGAAATGGATTTAAGTTAAAGGAAAACAGAATTAGATTGGATATTAGGAAAAAATTCTTCAGTACGAAGGTTGGAAGCCTCTGGAACAGATTGTCCAGAGAGGTTGTGGATGCCCCCTCCCTTGAGGTGTTCAAGGCCAGGTTGGATGGGGCCTTGGGTAACCTGGTCTAGCTGAGAGGTGTCCCTGCCCATGGCAGGGAGGTTGGATTAGAAGGGGGCTGGTTAGCTCAGTCAGTTGAGCGTGGTGCTAACAGCACTAAGCTCGCGGTTTCGATTCCCATTTGGTCCCCATGTGTTGCCTGATCTAGTCGAGAGGTGGCGTCCCTGGTGGCAGAGAGGCTGGATTAAAATGATCTCTAAGGTCCCTTCCAGCTAAGGCCATTCTATGATTCTATGATTTCTAAGGTCCCTTCCAACCTCGGCCATTCTATGATTCTTAACATTAGAATCTCACTAACATTGATACAAACTTTCAGGGTGGCTGGATTCCCAGGACTGCTTGATTCCAGAGAAAGTTTGAGAGAAAATATGATTCCACTTCAGTACCAGAAATGTATGGTTATATCGGATATACATAGCCCTCGGACAGTCATATTAAAGCAGTAAATAACTTGGATTTTACACATCTCGCATGCCCACAGATACCTCTCAGACTGCTGAATGTCCAGTGTGAAAGAAGGAATCCCTCAGTAGAAGAGCTGGGCAAGGGGAGGTGAGTGGCAAGGAGCACAGAAAGGAACTGCTCAAATTATAACACACTTGCAAGAATACTAGAGCAGTAACAGCTGGGCAAGGTTGCAGGAAGACGTATGCACTTTTGTCTTCTTGTAATAACAATTGCTGCATGGATAGAAGTAAAAGTAACTTCAACTTCCTCAGCTGCTGTTTCAGAAAAGCAACAGAACTACCCAAATCAGTAGGTTAAGCAGGTGGAGACACCATTTACTCTTTCTTCTGCAATCAATCTTCATTCCGATGCCTGAATCCATAGAACAGGAACACCTAAACATTGCAATAATCAGATCTAATTCACTCCTGATTAATCCTCTAGCTTCTTATAATTTCTGGGTTAAACCTAAATTTCAAAGCTACATAACAAGAAAAAAAAACAAAACAAACAAAAAAACCCGAACATGTGCTAGAGAGGAAATTGAGGATTTCTCATGATATTTCCTGCTACTGGTGTTGTATTCCTGCCTCATATAGCTTTCCACCACACTCCCAAGAAGGGCACATTTGCCCACCCATGCAGAGGCATAGCCAGGAAACTCCTCAGTTTTTGTATATGAGAATTTAACACACAGAGCAAGAATTGCCTCTGCCTAGTTACAATGTCTCTTGAGGAAATCGCCATCTGTGCTGATGTCAGACAGCCATGCTAAAAAGCCATGAACTCATTTCAGACAAACAGAAGTCATAGTCAGTGGCTTCCCAGCACAGCTGGGTGAACAATCAGAGCCAGCACTATCAGGGCAACTGCACAAGTGAGCTTTCAAATATCCAGAAAGAAGGAAGGGCTTGTGTTACTCTCATCTGTCAGCTTGCCACTTTACAGCATCCTGCATTGTTTAAATATGGTCCTCAGCTCTCAAGTTGAGTGCATCAAGCTATAAAAGTGGCAGAATGAGGCCAGACTGAGAAGCCAGCCACAGCGTAAATGCTACCAGAGGGGCAGGTATAAGGGTTGTGGGTGCCCGTGGCCAGTACATACGTGCAGGGCTGCTCCAACAGTCAAGCTTGTGGCCCATAATGAATCCATTCCAAGAGTCCAAGCTTTTGGCATTGCACAGTTGTATTACTTTCCATTTATTAAAATATATGGGTAGTTGCTAGGCATGAATGAATGATTCATAACCAGTGTAGTGATGTCTGCCACACCTGGATCAACTGGATCAACTGCATAAGCCTCCAACGATCCTGCTCTAGACATAGACAAACGCCACTTCGCATGGAGCTAGCCTGGCTATTTGGGGAATGGACTCAAGCACAGTGGCTACCCCCTTCCCTTTTGCAAAACACCTGCAAAGTAAGAAGGTAACTTGAGACATGTTTGGGACATTCAAGGCGTACTGGCTGTGTCTGCGCTCCTGACACCAGCTTCCAGTCCTTGAGCTGTTGTGATCTCTTGGAACCCAAGCTCGCTTTCAGTCCTCATCACAAGACACAACAGGCAAGGAAAACACTGAAACAGCAATGTGAAAGCAAGCACCACTCCACATCTACATGAGCACCACACACACAAGTGTCTGGCTATGAGTTTTCAGTTAATGTTGCCAGTCCCGTGGAGAGAAACTGAGGCAAGTTTAGCTTTTCCCTAAAATTTCAATAAAGCAGATAAACCAGACCAAGGGCAATGAATTCTTATGTCTTCAGAAACCTAAGATAGGTATAATTTCTTTCTAGCACTCTGAAACTTTTCAGAGACTTTGAGTTCAAGTTTTTATCTACTTGTTGAGGTCAGCTGCAATAAAAGCACAGCAGACTGGAGGGAGGTTAAGAAAAAGCTTGTATACCACTAGATTTTGTTCTCTGATAATCCAGAAAACTCCTATCTAGGAAGACAATATTTCCTGTTGCAATTTTACTAGCACTTCTTCCTTGAGCTTTACTTGCCAAAGCCTGTACTTCTGGAAGATACATTAAGAGTTCTCAGTGTTACACCCCAAGTATCTGTTGAGTTCTTTGTTTTACAGCAGACTTAGAAACAGTGAGGAGCACACTTTTACTGTTGGTCTCATTATTTGTTTATCATCATAAAACAAAACTTGAAGGCCAAATTGGTAGCTCACCAGTTCCTGCACTGCAGGATGCAATGAAAAATTTTGGTCTCCCAGATTTGAGGTTGAGGAGATAGATCCCTTCAGACTGATTTCCACTGATGTACAGGTGGTAAACAAGGACAAGCAATTTGCTCAACATCACAGAACAATTTAGTAGCCTAACCAAGTGTTGTCCCTTGACCCACTTATTACTGGAGCTCACAGCCTCCTAAGAAATACATATGTATTTGTTTCATTAGCAAAACATTAGTTAGTTAAATTTTTAATCTTAAAGATTTACAGCATTTAAGTCAGCCTACCTCTGCTTACTTGTAGATAAGATTACAATCTAATCTTGAAATACACATCCCTTAGTTTTTATACAACACAATTCAATCTCAACATTTAAAGAGCACTGTGAAGTGATTCAGTACACAGCACTTCCCTTCAACACACAGAGGAGAGAGATCTTGTGCAAGAGGCAACCTTTAAATACAAAGACGTAAACTACACGAGTTACACAACTTCTAATCAACAATAACAACTACTTCCCTCCTCCCAAAGCCACTCCTCAGCAAAGACATGCAACTACAATCAAAACTAGATCATATCATTTCCTTGAGATTTTTTCCCCCTTTAACAGCTAAAGTTCAGGCTGTCTGATTAATGACACCAGTGAGACATACAACAGTATTTACACAAGTAGGTTTTTTCAGAGCTATCATAAGCTACCTAGGAATTGAGTTGCAGGATATCAGCTCAACTTTATGGCTGAAAACAGTTTCCAAGTTTCAGTACCTTTCTTAGTATAAAACTTAACCAATAGCTGCAATGACCCAGCTAAACATCTCAAGAGATCTCATTTATAAATTTCAGTATGCAATTCAGTTGTGCACAGGCTTCATCCCTTTGGTGTGCAAAGACAGCTTATTCCACATTCAGTGACAACCCTGCAGGCCCAGGGAAAGAAACCAGTTCACACAGATGATTCAGATCAGTGGATTCTCCCAAACTCCCGATAGCCTGCATGGGACTTGCAAACAACTATGGGCATTAGGGCATACTTCCAAATTGCTCTTAAAAGTCACCAGCTTTGGCATCTAAGCCCAAAATGTGCTTTTGAAAGGCTGCCTAAAAACTAGCTATTAAAACCACAGACAGAAATATGCAAAAGCTAATTCGCATCTCTTGTCCAAAAATTACAAAACACATCATTCAAATACACCTTCAGGTAAAATTTAGAGGATGCTTAACCTTTCCAGAACCTATAAAAGCAGCTGAGTACTGACGGTATTCAGATGGCTAACGCTTGACAGTGTTCAGATCTGGAGCTGGTCCAAAACACCTCGCTGTAGCGGGGACATCTGCAGGCAGGTGCAGAACACTGTTTGCCAATCTGTGATTAACATCTTTATTTAAAAGGAAACCAAAAAGCAAACATTTTTACTTTACATAACGCAGCTAAGGAGCTGGGGTGGAGTGAGGGAAGCACTTCGCAAAACCTGTTTTCTTTAAGCCACACTTCAATCTCCATCGTAACAATAGCTCTGGCACTGAAGCGATGCTGCAGCGCAATACCAGCATGCGCAATGTCAAAACTCACAACTGGAAACCCACCATCAGACATAGTAGCTAAAGTTCATTTCAGCTTTAGTCAAGATTGTATTCAAGGCTCAAAACTATAAGTGTTACTTACTCACACAGAAGAATGCCATTTTCTAATCCAGAACGAAAATCTTTCTCACCAAAACTTCTGCCTGTCACTTGCTGCAAAAGAGTAGGGGGAAACAAAAGAGTGACATCTGTTAGAAGGTGTGTTTTACAAGAGCAATTCGTAATATTCAGTTGAAGTATCTGCTGCATAGGAAACATCTGAGCTTCACCAGCCTTGCCAAAGGACTAAGTCACGTCTATCAACCACTTTTCTGCTCCACATTTCATCGAGCTGTTTAACACATAGAATAAGGTATTTCCTCCAGCCAGTGCAATCACAGATTGTAACACAGCTGTTTTCCATGAGTAAAGAAAAACCAACAAACCAAAAACTACAATGTAATCCTCAGACTATTTTAAAGATTTTATTCTATAGCCTATTGAATTTTAAAGCTATCATGTTTAGATAAACCATGTATTTTTACTGCTTCTTTTGGAGCATCTTAAAAACTTTGTACCAGGCTTAAACCTTTGGCCTTTAACCTATCACCTTTATAGAATAAGCAATTAGAAGTGCTTACATGAGTTATAGCCCTTTGGACACACGCCACAATACTCCTGGTCATACAGAATGATATCTCACATCATGAAGTCAACAGTGAGCATGAATAAAAACCCAGGGGAAGCTAAGGGCAAGGCACCTACTTGCAGTCTTGTTACAGACGTTTGGACCAGGAGGTACATTCCGAATTACTAGCTAAGCCAGTTTGTGCTGCTTAGGGATGAAGCATGTAGGAACCGTCTAGGAATCCCAATCTTGCCTGAGGGTGCTGGATGCTGCAAGCATGACTGAACCCCCAATTATGACTCACTACCACATTGACAACAGCTCGCCATTCATCCTCAAATCATTCTCGGCAGATGACGCGTTCCATAAAAAGAATACTTTTTATTACCACCAACAAATATATAAAAATAGTTGCTATATTTAGAGAGCGCTGAACAGAAACAAAACAAAGCAAAAAAAAAAAAAAAAAAAGATGCCTAGTTTTTAATTGTCCTCCAGGAGGTCTTCTCCTCACCCAGCCCAAACATTTACCGGATGCTTATGGAGTTCTCATGGCTTGCATCCAGTCTTCCAGCAAGACCCTTGCTTTGGGCGTTCCTTCCACCATAGAGAACTGTGACTTGGGGACACATCTGTCCTTATGTCCCCATTTTCTCCTTGCTGTTCCATTCAAATACAAGACCCTTCTCCTCCCAGTTTCCTGTCATAAGAACAGCAATTCATAAAAACTGACAAGTTTGGCACTTTCCCACGGGATTAGTGAACGCACCAGCTTCACAAACGCTGGTTTTAGTTACGCACAGTCTTAGAGAGCAACACTTTTTTTTTTTTTTTTAACTGAAGAGTGCAAATGCATAAAGCCTACAACTTAACCCCCCACTTAATTAAAAACATGGGCTTTTCTTAATGTGAAAGCACTTCCCCCAGCAAACTGGTACAACAATGTGCAAATTTTAACCTCCTCATACTCTGAAAAGTGTATCATAAAGACATCAGTTGACAAGCAGATTTTATGCAAATGAATAAAGCATGAAGATGACATTATAAATGAGAAAGACAAACCCAAAAAGGGAGCAAGAAACTGGTCCCACCTTTTCCCAGAGGAAATTACAGCTTGGTTTCTTGGTGTATGCGCACACATACACACACGTTCTATGATTCTTGTTTCTTGTGTGCGTGCACACATACACCCCCCACTCTCTGCAGAGGCCACTTGGGGCCATACCCTTGAGAAGAACTCCAGCAGGTCCACAGGCCAGCCTTGTGCACATCGCTGAGATAACCTTTGCTCAGCACACTGAGAGCAGGAGGAGAGAGGATTTAAAACTACTTCCATGGGGGGGGGGGGGGGGAAAAAAAGCCTCTAATTTCACTGCTGGATGAAACTCTGTAAACACTGTTGTACAAGGACTAGAGTGTAGTGTTTACAGTGTTTCTACTGAGCTTTACTGGGCAAAAGTGAACTGCACATGTGCAGCCAGTACAGCAAAGCAGAAATCAGGGGATCAGGTCTTTAGTCCATCAGCTACAGCGAGCTGGTACATAAACTGTACTGAAACTGTACACAAACAGCCACAGACAAACACAAGGTAGTCTGTATCTGCTGCCTTCAGGAAAGGGGGGAAATTTTATTTTATTTTATTTTTTTTTAAAAAAAGGCAATACCAAAACCTAAGGAAAATGTTAACTGAGAGAACACAGAGACCTGGCCTTTCTTCACAATACTCTCTCTAGACCACCACATGTTACACACTTTCAAGAGACAACTCCTTCTGCTGCCCAGCATTGCCCCCACCAGTATGGGCCAGCACACTTTGGCAGCTCATAAGAAAACAAGCTGTATGGAGGAGATCCCTTTTCACTTCTGCAATGCCAGCACACTGTAATGCTCTGCAGCACAGAGCTACCAGAGTTAGAACAAAGCACATTAGCAGGATACAGCGTTTGTTTTGCCTTTAACGATTACTAAGAAAGCCTGCCACATCTTTCTAAGATCTATAAAGCTGAGAGGCAAAGAGATGCCTTTCCACATCATACTGTAAATTAAAAATAGAGAACAGAAGCAAAACAACCTAATTTATTATTGTACTTCATTTATGTGAGAAGGAGCTGGTTTTACTTCTCATCTGGATGATATTTTCTTCTCTGTAAAAAGCTATAAACATCTTCAACCAGGGCAATTATTTGACTGCTGGACACATTTCTCAGTTTTACTGCCACTTTAACTACCCAAAAAATGAACCTAAAATGAATAATAAAAAAGTTTTTCCAAAAGGAATATTAGGAGACTAAACTACACTACACTGACTCTATCACAAACTTATGGCAACAACTTTAATACGTATTTACACAGAGTAACACTTTTTATATACAGTATTGTTGCTGATTAACTCCTTTGTTCTTGGCAGTTACGCATGTCACTAAATTTATGTCATCAAGGATGGCTGTCATCCAGCCACTAACCAGTGCCATATTACACAACTATTTTCACCAAGCTTCACTTCACACTGTTTTCTATTGCTGCTGGTGCTTCCTGAGATGGAGCTTGCGAAGCCTCTGGTGTCAAAACAGCTTAAGGGCATGAAAAAGAAAACGTGACATATTAGTGAGCAGATGCTGGCCTCAGGTGAAATTTCTCTCAGTCAACAACATATAAGTACTTGAATAAACACCAAGTCATCAGGGACAGCACTTTGAAAACAGTTAGCTTCATTTTCTATGTGCACATCTGAAAACAGCATGTAAAGCAGCAAACAAAAATACAGACATGGCAGGGAGAGGTCTTTGTTACTCATTACACATTTGGGATATCTTGTGAAGCATGACAGCAAGAAGAGTTTCAGAAAGTTCGGTAGGCTGTTCATTTCTTTGTACATAGGTACACTGCATTTCTATTTTGTGCAACCACTATTTATCCCTATATAATTTTTTACTTAAACAAAAGAAGCCCACCCTGCCACTTAACTAGAAGACCTACTGCTTCAGGGAGATAGAAAAGTAAGGCTTAATCTGTAATAATCCCAGGTAAAAGGAAAGGTTTGGAAATTATAAGCATCAGGGAACACAAACCACCAAAAGACATGTGGCAGATTTTAGGGCATCAGGATTTGGTGCCTCTGGAGTAATGAATTTCTACTTCCCCATTTTTGGCATACCATATACCGAGCTAATAACAGGAATATGCAAAGTTAAATTGTTTTTTTCATGTTAGCATAGACAAGAGACTTCTGGACTAGACAACAACTAGACAAATTTAAAGCCAGCTTTCCATCTGCCAACCAGAATTGTACCACATCGCTATGGCAGCGCAACGGGACTTGAAGGCCCTTCACCAGCTCCTGGGGCTGTTGCGTGTTGCCCATGAGATTCTTTGGTCTGTCTGGAAGAGTGGACAAAACGCGTCTTCTGGGCATCAGCTCCGTCTCTCTCACTCTACAGCAGAGGAATCAAACTTGCTAAAAGGTCATAGCAATACAAGCCAGTCCTGAACAGCTTTATCACAAATATTAGGAAGTTAGTTTATTTAGTATAGCCAAATTTGAAGACTGCATGAATCGAGTTTTCCAAGAGCAAACCCTGGTCTAGACATACTTATCATCCAGAAAAGCTGAATGATGGCAAGAACTCCACACACAGCTTTGAATCACATTAAAGTATTGAGGTAATTTACTACAGAAATCAATAAAAGGGCGAACAATTTAGATATCTTCACTGTGTGTTTCTGCTTCCAAGGATGAAAGGAGCATGAGCTCAGAATAACTAATGCGGCCAGCAATGCAACACCTGAAATTCTGTGTTACAGAACTTGAAAATTTAAAGAATGCATGGGAGGAAGGGAGGAGACTTCACACTTGGGTACCAAGATTAATCTCCAAAGAAAGCATTTAGCATTATTTATTTTTAGATCTTGTATCTTCTGGTCACTTAAGTTTAACCACAATTTGCAAAGTTAACCAGCTGTGCTGAAGCCCCCTTTGTTCTTTTCCTTTGGCTATTTCACCCTTGTACTATTCTTTAAAGAGCCAGGGAGTTGACTCACTCTTTTTCACACTCCATTAGGAACTCCGTTTTTTCTAACAACAATGTTATAAGATAGGGTACAGCATATTCTCCTCCATTGCTTTAAATTCCCATCTGCCAGACTGTCAGTTGGGTTAGCTGACAGTTTGGTGTCAACATATAGCACGGGAGAACCATACTCACTGGTACAAACATACTCCCAACTCCTTTGGTGAACTTAATTCTAAGCCCTCACTAAACCAATGATTTCTTTTCTGCAGGATATTAGTCAGTGCCTTTTCTTTTCCATGAGGGAAGCAAAAACTAAAAGACCATAGCAGCTGATTAATTTTTTTCCGATCCTTTGCATAATGCAGTGAGGAAATGATCCTCTGAATGGATGCATGCATTTACAACTACTGTGTAGGCTAAAAGAACAGCTCCAGTTAGTACTCCATTTAGGAAACATGGCAGTATGCCAAGTGGCCCGGAAGGCCAGTGGCATCCTGGCTTGTATCAGGAACAGTGTGGGCAGCAGGAG